CAGTATTACTGTAGAAGCAGTTATTACTATATGTAAAACGCCCTCATTGTCGTCCTACTGCCGAACATTGAACGTTTACCATTCTGAATGCAACAAAGATACTTGGTGAGGATGCCTCATTTGTAACCGAGCCAACCGTAGCCAGAAAGAGAGAATGTTATCATTTTTTACTGCAGAAGTACTGTACTAATTACTACTGCGCAAAGTCTTATCCGTTCCAAGACAAAAATGAAACAGATTCCTTCTGTTACCAGAGCCCCTTCTCCTTACATTTCATTAYAATCGTAGTTTCTTTCTCATCCAAATCCAAAATCTGAGTCTCGATGATGCGCAAATTTTTCCGAAGAGTAGGGATATTCCATTTCTCCGTCACTTTGCGAACGCCATTGAGAGTCTGATCGAACTGTTTGGTAGCGGAAATAGCTTTGTGTTTYGTCGATATTTCATCTCGCAGGTTGTTGAGTTGATTGAATAGAGCATTGTTTCGATTCCTAGTTGTGTCGATATTATTTATCTCGTCTTGAGAACCCAATACACCCATCAAACCTTGTSTGCCCAGGAGTCTAAGGTCATTCAATATTTCCAACGTTGTCACTTCCGGTGCTGATGGGTCTCTTTTTCTAATATAGTCATTGTATGAGGGAGTTCCGACCTTCCTGCCCAGTCCAAGGCCTTTCCAGGAATACCTCACGAATGGGCCCAAGTGGGAATAGTAATCGGGCATATMAATCGACAAATCCAATTTCTCTGGTTCGTCTYTCTTTCCTCGTGTCCGATTGTCTTTTTGAGGTGTATTATCTGTGACACTTGATATGGAAGRCATGGTTGCCAGCTGTGTGTGAAAGCGAGCGACAGGTTCGGGATTCTGTCGACTCCCATACGATTGAAATCTTTCCCTGCTCAAATCGAACCACTCTTTTGACCCATCAGCTTCACAGCGCATTTGAAAATAACTTGTGTTTCCTTGTTGTTTCTGCACGATCGCCTTGCATAGGGTTTTATTGTCACGCCAGTGCACCCCTAGCCGATCTCCGACCCTAACTTTCTTCCACTTCTTTTTCGGCTTTACGAATTGCGATTGACGCAGACGCTTCCCTTTCACATTGGGGGCAACAGYGGACGCCAAAATCTCATTGAACTTTCTTTGCTGAACCCGATCTTGTCTGATCCGTTCCACAAGGTCTGCCAGGGCTTGACTGTCACTCGTGTTGTCCATGACCGATTGGGGCAATTCCTCGTGACAAAGCAAAGCATTTATCTGGTCCTGCGTGCAATCGTCACCCATCTCGGGTTCGGCATYAGCTGCTTCGACAACGTCTGTTTTCTGCGTTTTCTTTCGAATCGCATGTACTTTTCCACTCCTTAAAAACACATCGAGTCCCTCTGGAAGATTCCACATATTCCATTGCGTAAACAGTTCGTGGAGTTTTTTGTGTTCTCTGAGTCTTTTTTTAACCATTTTGGCTTCATCTAATTTTGTGACCGATGGTTCTTTCTTCGTAGCTTTGTTCTTGCTTGTTGAAGCTTGAACATTAGATGTTTTTTTTCGTTTTTTATTGTTTGATGATTGCGTACCCGTTGCGGCTGTCTTTGCTGCTGCTTTGCTTTTGCCAACTTTTGTTGCTGCCGCTGTTTTCTGCGCCTTGTCATTTTTCTTCTTCGCAACATTGTCGATTTTTTTCTTAGCTACAGTGGCACCAGCTTTCTTTGCAACAGCGACTTTTTTCTCCTTCTTGTTCTTCGTTTCTGGGTGTWTTTTACTTGTCGTTTGCGAATCATTGGAACTATTTTTTTGTCTAGAAAAGTGTGAATCAAACATTGCTTCAAAATCTTTATCGGYCATATTCTTATGAAAATGGGGGTTGTACATCATGTTTGCATTCTGTCCCTTTTGGAGCTTCGTCCATCCATTCGTTTCGAGATATCGGTAAAAGGAAGAGAAAGCACTTACTGATATGTTTGAGATAGTGTATTATTTAGAGGAAATACCAACAACATTAGCACGAAATAAATCGAGCAGAACAAATGAAGCAAAGGCATAGTATCGCAAGAATCATTATAACACAAGCGCTCATAAGATATGTGTCATGATTGCAAAAAAAATCCCCGAAAGAGAGGCAGTGGCGAAGGCGATTTTTTATTTATTAATAATACGCACCATTGAAATACTTGGACAGAACAGTCTTCATTTCTGATTGATTTTGGTTCAAATAAAATGCTTTTCCGTCGCGAGACCACCCCATGACCTTCAAATACTTTGCTTCTTGCAACACGTTGAACAAAATCTTGGGAAATTCCGAACGTGATTGCRCTACCACATCCGAGGTTCTTCCACTTTTCTCAATTTCTGTCGGTTTCGTATCAGGTGCTGCAGCGGTAGCGGTAGCATTCCCCATAGCAGTAGAGTTGGATTTGAAAGAATATGCTTTTTGCTCGTTTCGATTGATACTTTCGTCCATTCTCGGCAAAGTTGGTASAAAGGAATGTCTTAGTCGGGATGCATCTCCCGCCGTCAAACTCTGCTGCTGTGGTTGTTGATGCAAACCAACTTCTCGGGTCGGGTAGATCGGGGATGGATTTACCGCTCCCCAYTGATGAAGCATCTGTGGTAATCCTTGYGGCGATGCTCGATTATCGGAAGCGTTGTCTTGCTGACTATTTTCGRAGGGATTGTTCCTTGAATCCATGTTAATTCTTCCCCTGGAGAGAAGGGTACTTCTTCACGGGTTCTAGTATTGATATTTATTTTTCCTCTCTACCTTCAACCTCTGGCAATTCTCGCCTTTTTCTTAATTAAACGTAGATTCAAATTATGATTGAAATGTATCCTTTGAATTCCAAGTAGTTGTAAACAGATCTCGTTAAGCAACATGAAAGCAGATCGCTTCACTGGTAGGTACAGTTGCTGGCCGCATTTACAGTTTCGTCAAGTTCGTTCGAATCAGAAGGGAATTTTTGTTGATTACCGAAAACGTTCAGTTTTCCCGTACGTTTGAGGCCTTGATTACAACAACAACAACTACAAWAGCGTGATCAGGCAATCTGTCATTTATATTTTTTGAATGTGTTGTTTTGAGAAACTCAGAAAATATGACATTATTTATTGTACTCTTGTCTACATTGCTGTATGTTGCATAAGCAATGTCTTTTGGGAGTTTGTCCCAAGCTTTTACAATTCTTGAATGATAATTTTATTTGAGTCTTGCGAGYCATTTCGTTCTCATTCTGCACAAAAAATAAGTTTTCTTTCTGTTTCTCCCGGAAGTCCAGAGCATTGAGGATTCTTCAAGGTTACTGGTGGCTCCTGTGTAGAAGTGCAAAATGGTAGTCCAGCACACCACACTAGCTAATACTACTATGTGTTGTGGGTCTGTTANTCCTCTACATAACCTTCTCCTTGGAGGGAGTTGTACTAGTCCCTCTGAGCAGCTAGGAGCATTCTTCTCCACAGAAGTTATGATTCTGGTCAACAGAGTGCCTCTTCTAGTTAACAAGGTTAAATGAAATAATATTTTTTAATATTTCCCTGAAAAATACTAATCAATGAAAAATTGGTTTGCTTCTTGTAATGCAAATGGTTTCTAGGGTGCAAAAACTAAGTTAGTGACAAGTTGGAAAAATAGAAGAATTTAGAAGCTAATCAATGAAAGCACTCTGGCTGCTGTTTGTTGTTTTTGAAATAGGAATGGAATTCATTGATACATTGTGTATTTCAGGTACTATTGTTGTTTGTGTTGTTTTTTAATGAGAAGAGGCATTCTTACAAATAGATCACTGGAAGTCCTGTGACAAAATTCTTAAGAGGAGTGAAACTAAGACCAACAAGTTGAAACCAACAGATTTTCCAACACCTTTCCTGTAATTTGTGAACAGTGCTTGCATTTGAAATATTAATTGGAAATTGAGTTATTTAATTCCTTGTGACTTCTTATACAACAAGTTTGATAGGTTGTAATTGCTTTTGATTTGTTTTGTCTTGGACATTGAAATTTAGCCTTGTTTGCTGTAGTGTTTTGAGA